GCAGCACACTGACCTGCCATGCGAAAAGCTCAGACGAGTCGCGGCTAAAGAGTCGTGAGTCGTGGCTCGTGATGTCATCACCTGGCACCGCTACTCCGTTCTGGGCATGCGCATGGCCCCTGTGTGTTCTGTTATCTGATGCTCAGCTGCTGCAGCGATGCTGGGGTGACTTGGCTTGCGTGCCGACAGAGAGGGCTCTGCATGCCTTAGGTTCACCACCACTGTCCTAGGGGCTCCTGCAACCAGGACTAAACACTCGTCCCAAGTTCTTCCCAACTAGGACTAAACACTGGATCTAAGGGCTTCCCAACCAGGACTAAACACTTATCCTAAGGGCTTCCCAACCAGGACTAAACACTCGTCCCAAGTTCTTCCCAACTAGGACTAAACACTGGATCTAAGGGCTTCCCAACCAGGACTAAACACTCGTCCCAAGTTCTTCCCAACTAGGACTAAACACTGGATCTAAGGGCTTCCCAACCAGGACTAAACAGTTATCCTAAGGGCTTCCCAACCAGGACTAAACACTTGTACCAAGTGCTTCCCAACTAGGACTAAACACTCAATCTAAGGGCTTCCCAACCAGGACTAAACACTCGTCCCAAGTTCTTCCCAACTAGGACTAAACACTTGTACTAAGGGCTTCCCAACCAGGACTAAACACTCGTCCCAAGTTCTTTCCCAACTATTACTAAACACTCGTCCTAAGGGCTTCCCAACCAGGACTAAACACTCATCCCAAGTTCTTCCCAACTAGGACTTAACACTCAATCTTAGGGCTTCCCAACTAGGACTAAACACTTGTACTAAAGGGCTTCCCAACCAGGACTAAACACTCGTCCCAAGTTCTTCCCAACTATTACTAAACACTCGTCCTAAGGGCTTCCCAACCAGGACTAAAACACTCGTCCTATGTTCTTCCCAGCTAGGACTAAACACTCGTCCTAAGGGCTTCCCAACCAAGACTAAACACTCGTCCCAAGTTCTTCCCAACCAGGACTAAACACTTGTCCCAAGTTCTTCCCAACTAGGACTAAACACTTTTACTATTGGCTTACCAACCAGGACTAAACACTCATCTTAAGGGCTTCCCAACCAGGACTAAATACTCACCTTAAGGTCTTCCGAACCAGGACTAAACACTTGTCCTAAGGGCTTCCCAACCAGGACTAAAAACTCATCCCAAGTTCTTCCCAACCAGAACTAAACACCCATCCAAAGGCTTCCCAATTAGGAGTAAACACTCGTCCTAGGAGCTTCACAACCAGGACTAAACACTTAACCCAAGTTCTTCCCAACCAGGATTAAACACTTGTCCTAAGGGCTTTGCAACCAGAACTAAACACCCATCGTAAGGGCTTCCCAGCCAGGACTAAACACTCATCTTAAGGGCTTCCCAACCAGGACTAAACACTTGTCCCAAGTTCTTCCCAATTTGGACTAAACACCCATCCAAAGGGCTTCCCAATTAGGACTAAACACCTGTCCTAGGTTCTTCCCAACCAGGACTAAACACTCGTCCGAAGTTCTTCCCAACCAGGATTAAACACTTGTCCTTAGGGCTTCCCAATTAGGACTAAATACTTAACCTAGGGGCTTCCCAGCCAGGACTAAACACTCGTCCAAAGTTCTTCCCAACCAGGACTAAACACTCGTCCTAAGGGCTTCCCAACCAGGACTAAACAAACGTCCTAAGGTTCCCAACCAGGACTAAACAAACGTCCTAAGAGCTTCCCAATTAGGACTAAACACTCGTCCTAAGGGATTCTGAACCAGGACTAAACACTCGTCCTAAGGGATTCTGAACCAGGACTAAACACTTGTCCTAAGGACAATTACACACAAAACACCGGTACTGTTGATTCCACATTGGCTTGGCATATCTCAGCTTTGCCTGATAGAAGTTGTGGAATCCTCCAGACTCCAGAAGGACTTTAGCTGAACTTTATTTGCACTTTGCAGTTCTCCCCATCTGTTCGCAGCTCTGCGAAGACCAGTCCTGTGTAGTGGAACCATCTCTCCCGAGGCAGGCACTTCTGGGACCTCACAGGCACCCCCAGAGAGAGATCTACGGAGCCTCATTAGCATAAAGGAAGCATTTGAGGAGTAGTAAACATATTGAACCGTAGAGGAAGGAAAACCCTTACACAACATTAACGGGCGTCAGACATCGGCAGGAAACACATTTAGACGGAGCTCAGACACGTCGTACCATAAAATAAATTGACCATTAACAATACTAAAATGATGGAAGCCGAAAATACATTCCCCCAGCTTGTACTATTAATGTCCTATTCATTTCACACTCTGCAATTTGCAGACCCCTGGATTTCATTCCCTCCTCCAATACAGTATAAAGGTGGGTCGCCCTGACAACAACATTCCAGTAACAAGAAACTTTACAAAGAAAGTATAACGGTTTACCGTCAATTTTAGATTTTATGAAAAAAAAAGTTTAAAAATTGATGTTTAATATTTATATATATTTAAAAAATAATAAAAATAAACAAATACATGATACAGGTAAACCAATGACATTCTGTCCATAATCTGATCTCTCTTGCTCCTTATATTGGTTTCACAGCAGAGCAGGAAAGAGACTGTGCAACAAGTCATGCATCTGCCATTTGTCATGTATGTAATACATGATAAATGTACTGGAGTCATTACATGACGCGGGATGCAGTGGGGGGGGCGCTAGACTCCTGGGGAGCATAGGAACGTACTGGAGTCATTAGATGACACGAGATGCAGTGGGGGGGGCGCTAGACTCCTGGGGAGCATAGGAACGTATTGGAGTCATTAGACGACACGGAATGCAGTGGGGGCCACTAGACTCCTGGGGAGCATAGGAGTGCACTGGAGTCATTAGACGACATGGGATGCAGTGGGGGCCACTAGACTCCTGGGGAGCATAGGAACGCACTGGAGTCATTAGATGACATGGGATGCAGTGGGGGGCGCTAGACTCCTGGGGAGCATAGGAGCGTACTGGAGTCATTAGATGACACAAGATGCAGTGGGGGGGCGCTAGACTCCTGGGGAGCATAGGAGCGCACTGGAGTCATTAGATGACACGGGATGCAGTGGGGGCCACTAGACTCCCGGAGAGCATAGGAGCGCACTGGAGTCATTAGCTGACACGGGATGCAGTGGGGGCCACTAGACTCCCGGGAAGCATAGGAGCGCACTGGAGTCATTGCATGACATGGGATGCAGTGGGGGGCTCTAGACTCCTGGGGAGCATAGGAGCGCACTGGAGTCATTACATGACACGGGATGCAGTGGGGGGCGCTAGACTCCTGGGGACCATAGGAGCGCACTGGAGTTATTAGACGACACGGGATGCAGTGGGGGGCGCTAGACTTCTGGGGACCATAGGAGCGCACTGGAGTCATTACATGACACGGGATGCAGTGGGGGGCTCTAGACTCCTGGGGAGCATAGGAGCGCACTGGAGTCATTACATGACACGGGATGCAGTGGGGCGCTCTAGACTCCTGGGGAGCATAGGAGCGCACTGGAGTCATTACATGACACGGGATGCAGTGGGGCGCTCTAGACTCCTGGGGAGCATAGGAACGCACTGGAGTCATTAGACGACATGGGATGCAGTGGGGGGGGGGGGGGCGCACTGGAGTCATTAGATGATACGGGATGCAGTGGGGCGCTCTAGACTCCTGGGGAGCATAGGAACGCACTGGAGTCATTAGACGACATGGGATGCAGTGGGGGCCACTAGACTTCTGGGGAGCATAGGAGCGTACTGGAGTCATTAGATGACACAAGATGCAGTGGGGGGGGGCGCACTGGAGTCATTAGATGACACGGGATGCAGTGGGGGGGGGGGGGGTGCACTGGAGTCATTAGATGCTTTAGGCTGGCCATACATTATACAATTTTCTTGAGAATTTTGCTTTAGATTTACCAAAAACCATATAAAGAGGTTAAACATGAAGAACACTTTCAATTTTATCCAATCAGGCGGGCCCTCGCAGTAAATAATTGAAGGTAAATCTAAAGCAAAATTCTCAAGAAAATTGTATAGTGTATGGCCAGCGTTAGGCATAGGTGGAGCCTAGTGGGCAGGGCTGTGGGGGGCTCAACCGCATCGTAACAAACTGTGGGCGTGACAAAATTGTGCTAACAGTCAGAGGGGCTTAAAACTACACAGAAATATAAGGTACAGTCCTTGTACCCAAAAATTCTTCTTTAATTGCTTTGCCAGAAGCAAGAGTCCAACAGGGGTCAGGAGAGTGTAATTTACAGAGCGCAGGGGTCAGGAGAGTGTAATTTACAGAGCGCAGGGGTCAGGAGAGTGTAATTTATACAGCGCAGTGGCCAGGGGGCGAGTGTAATTTTCAGATCGTACGGGTCCCTTATCCCCTCCCTGGGGTGGGTTTGGACCCCCTTATCCCCTCCCTGGGGTGGGTTTGGACCCCTTATCCCCTCCCTGGGGTGGGTTTGGACCCCCTTATCCCCTTCCTGGGGTGGGTTTGGACCCCCTTATCCCCTTCCTGGGGTGGGTTTGGACCCCCCCCGCTAGTAGGTGGAGTCAGGCCTGTTTGTTCTCAGAGGACAGTTTTTCTGATGCTTCGTCACACATTGCACGGCCTCTCTCTGTTGCTGCGTCTTCGCACGCCTGACAGTTACTGAAATGATCCATTCAGGGAATTCAGGTTTGGGGCGCCAGGAAATATCGGAAGATCTTTACAAACGATCAGCAGAGAGTTCATGGAATTTATAGGAGAGGAAATCTGAGCATCGTGGAGATGGCCAAGTCACCTGTTCATGCTAATCAATGGAGCGCATCCAATCCTCTCCTTCCATATGGTGATCCCCCAGAGAGGACGGCCGAGCCGCCAGGGGATTCCATTCCATCTGCCACGTACACGTATATGGCGGATCTGTGCCGACTGTCTGCAGACCCACTCATGGAATATTACATTTTAGCTGCAGCCTCTGATTATATAAAGAGCAAAACAACACAGCCAGATCGATCATTCTACCTGCACATCGATCACCGGCCTCCCTTTCAGTGTTGCACAGGTGTACTGGCTCCTACCGGCCCTTCAGTCTTGCACAGGTGTACCGGCTCCTCCCCTTCAGTCTTGCACAGGTGTACCGGCTCCTCTCCTGGACTGAAACGGCTTCCTCTGATGTCACTGCACACTGTGGGCTTCTCGCAATGTGCATTAGAAGCTGCAGCAAGGCAGATAGAGCTCCGCCTCATTTCCTGGCTGGAGGAAATCCAGCATCATCTAGCTATTTCCTCCCCAGCCTGACTGTCCTTGGCTCCACCTCTTTCATTAATTGGAATTCAGGAGTAACATATACAGTGAAGGAAATAAGGATTTGATCCCCTATCATTCAGCAGGATTTCTGGCTCCCAGGTGTCTTTCATACAGGTAACAAGCTGAGATTAGAAGCAGTCTCTTAAAGGGAGTGCTGCTAATCTCATTGTGTTACCTGTATAAAAGACACCTGTCCACAGGAGCCATCAAACCATCAGATTCCAAACCCTCCACCATGGCAAAGACCAAAGAGCTGTCCAAGGATGTCAGGGACAAGATGGTAGACCTAGACCTACACAAGGCTGGACTGGGCTACCAAACTATGGCCAAGCAGCTTGGTGAGAAGGTGACAACAGTCGGTGCAATCATTCACAAATGGAAGAAACACAAAACAAGTGTCAGTCTCCCTAGGTCTGGTGCACCATGCAAGATCTCACCTCGTGGAGTGTCAATGATCATGAGAACAGTGAGGAATCATCCCAGAACTACACGTGAGGATCTTGTCAATCATCTCCAGGCAGCTGGGACCACAGTCACCAAGAGAACAATTGGTAACACACTACGGCGACAAGGACTGAAATCCTGCAGTGCCCACAAGGTCCCTCTGCTCAAGAAAGCCCATGTCCAGGCCCGTCTGAAGTCTGCCACTGAACATCTGAATGATGCAGAGCAGGACTGGTGGGAAGTGTTGTGGTCAGAGGAGACCAAAATCCAGCTCTTTGGCATCAACTCAACTCGCCGTGTTTGGAGGAGGAGGAATGCTGCCTCTGACCCCAAGAACACCATCCCAACTGTGAAACATGGTGGTGGAAACATTCTGCTTTGGGGGTGTTTTCCTGCTAAGGGGACAGGACAACTGCACCGCACCAAGGTCACGATGAACGGGGCAATGTACCATCAAATCTTGGGTGAGAACCTTCTTCCCTCAGCCAGAGAAGTGAAAATGGGTGGTGGATGGGTGTTCCAGCATGACAAGGACCCAAAACACACGGCCAAGGCAACAAAGGAGCGGCTGGAGAAGAAGCACATTAAGGTCCTGGAGTGGCCTAGCCAGTCTCCAGACCTTCATCCGATTGAAAATCTGTGGAGGAGCTGAAAGTTCAAGTTGCCAGATGTCAGCCACCAAACCTTAATGACTTGGAGAGGATCTGCCAAGAGGAGTGGGCCAAAATCCCTCCTGAGATGTGTGCGAACCTGGGGGCCAACTCCAGGAAACGTCTGACCTCTGTGATTGCCAACAAGGGATTGGCCACCAAGTACTAAGTCATGTTTTGTGAAGGGGATCAAATCCTTCTTTCCCTCATGAACATGCAGATCAGTCATCATTTGTTAGACGCATTTCTGCTGAATTTGTTGTTGTATTCTGTCTCTCAGTGTTACAGCGAACATTCCATTGTTAGACCGATCATTTCTGTGTGAGGGGGCGAACATTCCATTGTTAGACCGATCATTTCTGTGTGAGGGGCGAACATTCCATTGTTAGACCGATCATTTCTGTGTGAGGGGCGAACATTCCATTGTTAGACCGATCATTTCTGTGTGAGGGGCGAACATTCAGCATCAGCAGTGGGAGCAAATACACATTTCCTTCACTGTAAGATACATTATACAGGAGTGACATCACCGCCCTCCAGATATAAGATATATTATACAGAGTGACATCACCGCCCTCCAGATATAAGATATATTATACAGAGTGACATCACCGCCCTCCAGATATAAGATATATTATACAGAGTGACATCACCGCTCTCCAGATATAAGATATATTATACAGGAGTGACATCACCACCCTCCAGATATAAGATATATTTACAGAGTGACATCACCGCTCTCCAGATATAAGATATATTATACAGAGTGACATCACCGCCCTCCAGATATAAGATATATTATACAGAGTGACATCACCGCTCTCCAGATATAAGATATATTATACAGGAGTGACATCACCGCCCTCCAGATATAAGATATATTATACAGAGTGACATCACCGCCCTCCAGATATAAGATGTATTATACAGAGTGACATCACCGCCCCCACATTGAGGAGATGGGGGGGGGGGGTCATCACTGGGGGGATGGGTCACGTGATGCGGTCATGTCACCCCCCCCCCCCTAGTTTTCTCTACTAGTCCTGTATAATGGAGAGCTGCCTGATTATTAATCGCCATTTGCTGCGTGCGGATTGGAGGATCAGAGCGTTCCTTTCTACTTTCCGATGATCAGAAGACGAGGCAGGCAGCGGGGGAGGGGGAGGGCGGGAGAGCGTCTGTCAGCAGCGCATCAGCAGAGGAAATAGCCGCCTTGATTGCTAATCTATGAGATTGATTGATATCCGCGGCGGAATCCCAGGTGGTGGTCCGCTCATCGGCGCTGACAACACCAGAAGATGCATCGGCGGTCCGCGGAGTGACAGGCAGTCTGTACTTCCATCTCTCATCTCCTTCATCCCGCACGCTTATTACAAACATCAAACCGGATCTCCCGGATTACGCGGGGAGCACGGCGCCATTTGCGCATTCGTTACTGCGGCGCTCTTGGCATTTGAACAAAAAAACAAAACCCTGTTTTCTGGTATTTTTAGACCTTAAAATCTATCTCTCTGCAGAATCCTTCATTCTCTGCCTACCAGCTGAAATTTCAAATCAGGCTGACGCTGGTAAATCCTACACTGGCTGCTGAAACGGCTTTTAGACCCCTTTCAAACAGCGCGTAGCGGGAGCGTGGGTTGCCACTCACAAATTTAAAATCGCAATTCGCATGTTTCCACGTGTCGCACGTAGGGCAGGCCGTTCGCTTGAATTGGGTGCCCTAAGCGCACCAAGGAAGCTCAACGACCAAATGCTGGCCCTGAGCCAGGCGTGATTTCACACATATGCTTTGCCGCAATTTTTGCACATTTTATCGCTTTGCATTAAGTGCGCCAGTCAGGAATGAATGACATCCAAACACGCAATACGCGTTTCGCCGAGATTTTTAATCGCCCAAATGTGAGCAATGCTTGGTTCACACCTTCAGGGGCGGCCAATCGCAGGGGTGTTTTGTGTGCGTTTCTGCACGTTCCACGAAGGGCAGCCTATTCATTTCTCTGCAGAAACGCAGAGAAGGAGTGCCTGACTCCTTTACAAAACGCGTCGCATTACACTGCGTGGTGCTGCAGCATCGGGCGGTTTGGCATGCCCAATTGCAGATGCGGGGGAACGCCATTAACAACCCAAGAAAAATGGAAGAAAAATATATTTAAAAAATATTCTTCCCAAATATATTCACATATATTTGGAATACTATCATTTTGGATGTAATCAGTGAATTTAAAAAAAAAAGAAAAAAAAATGTATATATATATATATATATATATATATATATATATATATATATATGTTGCATGTTGAAATGCGCTTTTTATATTTTACAAAATATATGAAAAATATTTTTATAAATATATTTTTTTAAAATATATCCTTCAGATTTTTTTTAACACATAAAAAAGTCATTTTTACATATATTTGTAACTGCATTCCAAAAATGTAGATTAAATGTATTTTTAAAGACATACAGTATACTTGAAATTGTAATAAAAACGCATTTCAGCATACAGTATATATATATATATATACATACACACACACAGTATATTTATTGAAATATATTGAATACGGCCAAAATTGTATTATTTCAACTATATGTCAATATATTTGGGAAGAATATTTTAAAAATATATTTCAAATATATTTTTCGTCCATGTGGGATGTTAATAGAATTCCCCACCTGACTCTATTCCAACACGCGTTGCGCCGCACTGCGTGTTGTTTGCAGCATCATGCTGGTTGGCATGCGCACTTGCAGATGCGGGGAATTGCATTAACAACTCACGTGGAAGAAAAATATATTTGAAATATATTTTTAAAATATTCTTCCCAAATATATTGACATATATTTGGAATACTACAATTTTTTATATCAAAATAGAGTGTAAGCTCCCAGGATCAGGGCCCTCCTATCCCTCTTGTATTGAACTGTATTGTCTCCCGTTATATTGTAAAGCGCTGAGCAAACTGTATAATAATAATAAAATATATTTCAATAAAAAAAAAAAAAAAAAATATATATATATATATATACATACACTGAATGTTAAAATGCGTTTTTATTACAAAATATATGAAAAATATTTTTAAAAATACATTTTCAAATATACTGTAGGTCTTTAAAAATACATTTAATCTACATTTTTGGAGTGCATTTACAAATATTTGGGAACTATATAAGAATAGCACCAAAATATATATCTCACAAAATAAACAAACTTATATGTGAAGCTGCAAACCTAACCCAGAAAAAGGTGCAGAAATCAAATAAACATAGGAATGCGCTTATAAAAAAACTTTTGATATCTACCAGTGTGAAATAAATCAAAATGTCCGCCACATCAAAAAATATAAAAATAAAAAATATAAATTAAAGAATGTGTCCAATTATTTATGTTAAAAAGTCCAAAGGAAATTTGTGATAATCATAAATAAAAGCATTTACAAATATATGTAAAAAAATCTGTATAAATGACTTTTTTATGTATTAAAAAATATCTGAAGAATATATTTTAAAAAATATATTTTAAAAAAAAAAAAAATTATATATATATAAATATATATATATATTATATATATATATATACATATTGTTTAATATATAATGAAATATAATGAATACGGCCAAAATTGTAGTATTTAAAATATATGTCAATATATTTGTGAAGAATATTTTTAAAATATATTTCTAATAAATTTTTCTTCCATGTGGGAATTAATGGCACTGACAGGCATCCGCAGTGCGTCTCTGTGCATGTCTGGAGAGTGCGCAATTGTGCGTGCATTCCCGACAAGCAGCAGGCTCATGCGCACAGACGTAACCAAATCATCCCAGTCTGCGCCAGATCCTGCTGTTGGACGCAGGCCAGAATGATCCAGCATAAAAAGGAAAAAATGTGTGTGGGTTCAAAAAGAAATCGCATTTATGTGCATGTAGCATTAAGGATTCGCTCGCACCTATGCAGGTACGACGTTTTCAGACAAAGCAATGAGGCCTTTAAAGAAAAGACTCCAGTCCCTCCAGTCATACATG